TATTAATGTGTAGATATGAGTGTTTCATGTCTAAAATATAAAATATTATGATTGTTAAAACGAAAATGTTTTTTTTTTTTCATTAAATGTGGTACAACAATTTGCTTTTATTTACAAATAATTTTAAAAAACAAAAATCGCAGAATAAAAATTCAGAGAAAATATTTTGGTAAGTTAGACATTTTTCTCATCTCTGACAATATTTCACTTCGAGTTCAATAATTTTTAAATTTTAATTTTATTTATTTAATTTCTATAAAATATACATATGTGTGTGTTTTTATGACAATTCGTGTACAGTTCATTTAAATATTTTTATTGTGGTCAAATTTTTGAATATTGTAAATAAAAATTCTTCTACTTTTTAATTGACTTTTTTTTTTTTTGTATTTATCGACTATTTTTGAAGTGCTTTGTTTTGTATTTAAGCGCAGATTATTAAATTAATTAATTTTTCTTTTGTAATTATGTCAATATTCTTATAGAAAGAAGGTGCTTTAGTCAGATTAGTTCAAGACAACTATAAGAGAAACAAAAAAAATGAAGGGGTGAAAAAAAATACTAATTCTTTGAAATAGAGAACGATGGCAATTGCTCATTATGTGCAAAAACAGAAAAAAACGCAGCAAATCTTATACATATGATAGAGTGTGGAGCTCTTAAGTATACGAGAATATGCTTAAGTATACGAGCTTACAAGAATAAATGGGTCTTGACTAAAGTTGTATGAAAATGTGTTTCCCTCAAAAGGTTATCTCAATTTACAATATTTATAAATCTCGGCAGGCCTAGTTTGGAACTGGAAATGGAGTGCTATTTGGTATGTTTTTGACATTACATATTAAAATAAGTTACAATAAAATTTCATAAAAAGTATAGGTATTGAGAATTAAAACCAGACCTAAGTATTTAACCGGCCATCTAAAACCTATGGGGTAGGTAATTATTTATTTCGACACTCGGAAACCAAATCAAATTTTATATCAAATTTTATATTTGAAATATTTGGATTATATTATTGCTTATCTACACTTCGGATTCTGGAGCAATATTAACATGTTATACATATAACAATAGCAATATCCGATAGCAAAGTTTGACAATTTCGAAAACTTTACCATCCAATATCCTATTGTATACTCTTTAGAATAGAATTTTTCTATTTTTAATATTAATTAATTTATTAATTTTAACGCAATCTTCATTCACGCAATATTTATTTTGTTAGTGTCCAAATAAATTTCTTAAAATTAATTTAATTTTAATAACACTAAAATTTTATATTCATTCATAAATAAGAAAAACCAGCAAAAAAAAAACTAATTATGTACCTATTATAATAAAAACCATGTTGTATACATTCATCGTGCCATGCTTTTTGTTTGGAATGTGCTGATTTGAAAACTCTTGTTGGCATTTTATTTAAATAATATTTGATTTCAGGCATTTTTAATGTGATTATTTTTGTTATATTCGAAAATATTTTTTAACACCAACTACTCGTATATATGAACTGAATTTCAATTACATAATTATTTTATATTAAAAATAATTTCAAAAATTTTCAAAATTTCAGAAATTTAAATTTAATTAAATTTTTATACAAGATTTTTGCGAAAATATTTGATAACACTTTTGCAATATTTTTGATAATCAAAAAAAAATTTTACAAAATTTAAAATTTATTTAAAATTTTTTAATTTTTTTTTCGGTTTTCAATGTAGCCACCATGCAGTATAGGTCGAAAACAAAATCTAAATCATTACTATTTGTACTTTCGTTTCTAAAAACTGTTCATTCTAATTGTAATCCGATCAAAATTTACTCAATTATCTCATATAAATCATGCCAATATTAAGAGAAAAAAATTCTTTAAAACTCAAGAGATTATTTAATGAAAACTCAATTAATTCGATTGTTGCATCATGAACGCATTCTGTTCGGGGTATCTAATACTCGTATGTAACCATCATACACATATACCAAAAACACATATATAACATTAAGATGAATTGCTTAATGCAAATAATAATTAGAGAATTAAATATCATTAAGTAATGATCATTATTATTTTATAAAATTAATTAAAATAAAATAAAACTTTTGTTTTTTCTAAATTTATAGCTTTTACACTTCAGTATTGTGCTTCTCATAAAAGAGATAAGTATATATAAATAGTAATCTATATATAAGTATCTCTCTTATATTGTAATTTTTTTTTATTAATAGAATAGATTTTGAATTCTAAATAGTAAAATGAGGTCAATAATACAAAATGGAATATTTTTTATAAAGAAAAATTTTTGTTTTTTTTTTTGTTGACCATAAACTTTTTCAATGTAAAGTTCAATATCTGGCAGACAGATTCAGACTATAATTACATACTCGTATATAAATATTATTATAAAATTGCAATAAATATATCTAGGCTATCTTAATAAATTTCATATTATGCTGAACGTGTCTAATAAATATATATATATATTACATATAGATACGTGTATAATACGTGTATTTTTAGGACGTCATTGGAATACCAAATAATATGATGGTCATTATTACTTAGTACATTGAACTTTTTTAAAAATGTATGTAAATTAGAAAAAAACAAAAATCTGGCAAGCAAATCTTTCGTTACAAAAATATAATCCTTTAATTTTTTGCTTGGTAGAAGAAAATTTTTACTTAAAAAATTATCTAATGTATGTATATATATATATATATGTTATAAATTAAATTAGACTAAAAATAAATAATACTATACGTTAGTGATAATAAATTAATTTTAACTATATACTAACTCTGATATATAGAATATTTTATGTTTATATATAGCTAATAGAAATTTTTAATACAAAACATACGCCAACTGTTAGTCGTTAATAAAAGATTTCGTGTTTTAAAATTTGTGTAATTTATTTTTTGTAAAATGATAACATATCTGTGACTAATCTAATAGATTATATTTAGTGTAATATTCTGTTATACTATATTTTCTATTAGAATATTTCAGATAATTGATTTATTTGTAGTGAAACTATTGTTAAAAGAAAAATTATTGAATTACCACCTGTAGTAATTGAACATTCAAAATTCAGTGAAATATGGAAGACAATACAAATGAATTTTGCAGTTTTAATGCAATTTCAGAAATATTGTTGAAAATCATAATATTCAGAACCTTTCAGTTCAATTTATTTTCATTTTTAAATAATAGTCACAGAAATATTTTTTTAAGTATATACAATTGACACGACAATGCTTCCAAATTAAAATCGTCTACTTGCTTAAATACAATTATTGATTTATTAGCAATATCTAACAATAATAAAATTATTTATAAGCGCTATGCAAAATCTATCCTACTCGAAACATCTTCATGCATGCATTCAAGAATTCAATTATATTATCTAACAATGTAAACTATATTTAAAACATTCTTATGTCATAAATTTATTTAAAAAATAATTAATTTTCAATTATTAATATAATTTATAATATAAATTAAATTATAATTTGACGATTAATTAAAAATTAATTAAAAAAAGAAAATATAAATCATAAAATTTCTATGTTTTGATTTGTAAAATGTTTACAAATCAAAAAAAATTTTATTAAATAACAAAAAAAAGTTCAATTAATTTTTTTTTTTTTGGCGGACTTGGACACGCATAAATTCTCTTTTAACCGCAATAAAAGAATAAAAAATGTTTATATAAAAAAAAAAATGTGCTAAGAGAAGTTGCAAATGTTTTTGTTTATAAACATAAACAAATCATTTTCGAATGACGTCAATAAAACAGATAGTCTAAAGATTATGCATACAATTTTAAATTTTCTACTACTACAAAAAAAGAACCATTTGAGATTTATTAAATGTAAAGGATCTAAGAATATCATTTGCATAAAAGAAAATTTGCGTAAATCAAAGAGAATAAAATCAAGAAAAAAAAATCAAAACTAAAATTTTTAAAACCAAGCTCAGCCCCTAAAAGTATGCAATATTCTCAAATTAAATATTAAATACACTTTATAAACCAGTTCATAATTAGAGTAAATACAGTGATCGCGGATTTTTTTTTAAATTTTCCCTACCATCTTAAATTTTCTTACTTCGTACGAGAATGTGACTTGAGATCAAAGATTATTTTATTACTATTTAAAATTCAAAATATGAACTTCCTGTATTAAACAATTTTGTTGCAAATTCATTTCCAGCGCAAAAATTCAAATTTCCAAAGTTTTGAAAGTGAATGGGAAATTTGGGCCACTCGTTAGGTAAAGGTGGACTATGACACGAAGTACAGTGTTCCACAATACACGGAAATTCAATCTTTGAAATGAATATAAATTTTATAATTAAAATAAAGGATCACATAAAATTCTTCAAAATAGAAATTTTTGTATGGTAAAAAATACTTTTTTCGCAGTAACTAGTTTTACCGGAGTGGTACAAAAAACTCTATAACACTGTCGTGTTAAAAAATCGTCGTGTCTTTAAAAATTTACAATATTTTTTGTAAAAACATTTTCCGAAACTGAAAGATACAGCAATACTAATTTCGGAGTTATGACTTCGTTTTTTTTATTAATATTTATAAATTTGCATTATTAGAAAGGGCATTAAAGGGTATAGTTTCTCGGATATAATGGTAAACTGCATTAGCCTACACACTTATTCTACATACTTATCTTCCAATATTAAGGAAATTTTGTATATTATATGTGTTTATGAAATTTTAAAAATTATTTCAGTTCATCAAGATATATTTTCGGAAAAATTTGTAATTTTAAAGATCTAGAACAATTTTGAAATAGAAAATATTCAAGTTTGTGGTCTCATAGCTACATAGATGGAGCCAAGGAATTTTATTTTACCATATCTTGCAATGAACCCCACAAAAATTTGAAAAGGATATATTATGAACTTTCGATTAATTCCTTAACAATACAAAATAATACCTAAAGAATAATCTAAGGCAAAAAAAAGAGTATTTTACCTAGAAATAGCACGTGGTGATTCTGCAACAGCTTTAAATGACTTTCTCAATCGCTTATGGAATGTATCGAATAAAGATGATCTTCTCTTTGAAGATGGTAGTGCTATAATATTTTCATCAATTTTATCATCTATATTTTCTTTACTTATTATCTCTGGAACATTAAAAGTAGTATTTTTTCCATTTACGAGTTTCCGTATTGGTTCAATTATAATTTTATTTTCTTCTGGATCAGCAATCATTTTGTTAAAATTTGTTTTTTTTTTTTCTGATTTTCTAAATTATGCTTAATTTTTTATTATTATTTTCTAGTTTTTGTTTTTATGATTATGTCACGAAATTTTATATTTTTATTTTAGTTTTTATTTTTCTTATTCTTGTTTTTCTAAATTTTTCTATTATCCATTTTCAAAATTTTCTATTTTTATCAAAAATATCATGGTTTTCCGGTCAATTCACTAAAATTTAAATATTAAAAAAATTATATAAAAAAAAAAATTAAAATTATTAAGAGAAATAAGAGGAACTAATAAAATACAACAATTACAAATAAAGAATTTTTTTTATTATTTCCTTATACGTTAAAGAATGGCATAAGGTTTATTTTAAGAGCGTCTTCTATCAGATAAACTGCAACTGTTGGCAAATTTTTGTTGGTCATGGACAAATATGTACTATTTGGGTTTGAGTATGGGCCACTCGAATTTCGTACATTTGCCAACTTACATGAAGGAATGGCATTTTCGACTGTTTTGTTTTGACAAATTTAGAACTTAATCATAATATTATCTATGATTGAATTCTAAAATTTTTTTGGAAAAAAAAAAATTTTTCAAATTTCAATAGTGTCGCAATCGAATAATATTTTCTTTCTTGCAAGCAGAATTATGAGCCGCATTTTAAAATTAAATGAGCCGCATTTTTCCGACGGCTGAAATAAGATAAGCATATGGCTCAAAATATGTTTAGTTCAAGTGTAGATGGTAAATTATTGCAAATTTAAGAATTTTAAAAATAATAATTTATTTTAAACACAAGAGCAAGCCTACAAAGTGCTCGTGGTAATTCCAAATTTTCATTTCTTAGCTCAATCAATTTTGTCATTAAATTTCAAAATTAAAATCAATTGAATTTGGTGAACTGACCAGAGCCTAAAAAATGATCAATTCTAATTTATCCTCGTAAATCATAAAAAATTTATTTGAATAATTTTTTTTTTTCTTGGGACACACAAAATTCAAAACACAATTTATGAACTCAATGTGACAAATTTAATTAATAATAATTTTTTATTTTTAAATAAATTTTTAGACTCGTGTTCACTTAGAAAAAAATTCTGTATACAATTATGTTATGAGAAAACTAAATTTTAATTATTAAAATATTTTTTAATTAAACAGAAACAAAAAAAAACACAATCTACCTTTATGGTAAAACAACATTTTTTCGCACGTGATCATTTTTTTTTTTTTTTTTGATTTTACGTCAAAATAATCAATTTTAACATTTTCTGTTGCAATTTTTGTTGTCTTAAAATTATTGTATATTTTTTTTTTTGGTATTTATATTTCTATTTTTGTAAATTTTAATTTTCCGAAATTGAAATTTTTATGAGAAAAATTAAAAACGAAAAAAAAATTAAAAGTATTTTATTATACGAAAAATATAATGAAGCGATCTTATCAATTTTGCGATCAAAAGCTTACTAAGTACTCAACAAGCAACAAAAAAAGTTTTCAATTTTGTTTTTTTTTCAAAAGTATTTTTATAAATTTTTTGACATTGAAAGCCGAAAATGATTTTCTAGCTTTATATGAAGGACTAAAAATTTTCTTTATAAAAATGAGAGAATATTTTGTATAATTTTAGAATAGAATCTCTCTCTTTCTCTCTCACTTTATCTCTCATTTTATGATTCTCTTGTATTCGGTAATCGGTAATAGAGTATGGTATAGAAATTTCGATTCTTAACTTTTAATGAATTGTTTGAATAACATTAAAACTACAAAATTTTGATTAATTTAATAATCTTGAAATTTATAAATTAATTTAAATACCAAACTTACCAAAATTTATAAACTCAATTAATTAATTAATTGTTTTATCAATAAAATTACATTTAATATTTCAAATATGTAATTAGTCTTGTTCTTTAACGATTCTCTATAATTTTAGTTTTAATACAAAAGAGAAGATTTTTGAGCTCGAAAATTTGATCACTGATTTTCTGCTCAAAAATATTTTATAATTTCAATTAACTTTACAGTTAAGCTCACGAACAATATATTTCGCTCTTTTGCATTTTCCTTTTCACCCTCTTTCTTATGAATGCTTTTTTGCTGCCTCTTAATAGCAAAAAGAGTATAATAAATTATGAGTAACCTATGTATGTATAACGAGAGTGTAAAAATTTTCTAAAATTAATCGAATATTATGGATTCAAATGATCAAATTTTTGTTAGTAAAATGTCAGATATTAAATTAATTATAAAAAGTTTTTGATATACGGATTGGATTAAACTTACGTTCTTTGTGTTCTTAACTAAGTATAATCTAAGTACAGTTTAATCTTATACTCACGGTAGTACAAATTATAGTAAAGTTTATTTTCTAGTTGCACAATCTTATTTTACAAAATCTAAGACAGCTATAAAAATTTGGTTGATAATAGAGGTTAATTTTATATATAGTACGATTTCTCCGAAAATTTCGTCAGTTAGTAAGAATATTGTGGTTGTAAAGAATATTATTATGGTTAATTATTTTCCTATATTTTCGAAAAATTCGTTTTATAATTTCTTATATAGATGATTAAAAATTAAAACCGGTCATCAAAATTGGTTGAGTCGAAATTAAAACAAATAAGTGCACACATAGACTGACAGACATTTACTCCGAAAATATCCTACTTTATTTGTAGTCAATTCCACATTTTTGTTGAAGACTCGTAATTAATGCGAAATTTAATGTCATCCCGTAACATTTTTTATTGTATGCCATACGGTCTATAAAAATTTGGTCAAAATTTGTAAGTGCGTTCTAAATTCATAATAATTTTATGAGGATTAGAATATTTCGTCCAAATTTTTTTAAAACATAAAACGGGTGTATATGGCAACAATAAAAAGTAATAATGGAAAAAGCATGAAAAGTTTATACAATATGAAAATATTTTTGAATAGTTTATTCCGAAAAGTAAAATATTATGATTTCGATAATAACATTTTGTTTAAGATCAAAATCTACATAAAAATTTAAGTGCTTTTAAAATAATAAAAAAAAAATATCTATACAAAAATATAAATATAAATATTTTAAGAATAATTAGCTATTAAATTAATGGAAATTATGATATTGTTACATACTCAAACACAATGTTAATATATTTTAATAATTTTAAATATTCTTAAAAATAATTTTGTAATTTCATTGATTTTATAATGGAAAATACGTAAAGCGTGTGGTATTTATATATTCTCATATATTCTGAGGTTCATTTAGATAAACGTGGAGGTTATAATGCGTTTGAAAGAATATAAATAAGCTTTAAACACTTACGGATTTAAGTTACAGAATTAAGGATCAATACTTACGGTCTTAAGTAATACTTACTAACATTATTGATTATTTTAAATGAAATCATTCATCGATTAGCTCAAATACTTATTGTCAACTTCATCATGGAAATTAAAATGTAAAAGTTTTTTGAAAATTAAACAAATTTCATGTATAAACAGCATACGGTCTTCTAATTACAAATTGAAGAATGAAAAATAAAATTTTTAAATAGTTGACGAAAATAACTGGATCAAAAAAATTTTGAAATGTTTACACCAAATTAGAGCCTTGGAACTTATACTCTAGTGTTGGAAACTTGAAAGTCTTGGAACATTTATACAAAACTATAGAGTTGTTTTAGTTATTGCTGCTGTTTATATGAACAAACTGTGGTAAAACTTGTAACAAACCTTATTCATTATATTTTCCTTGCTCAGGCAGATATGCAATTTTTATATTCAATGCGGTGCGCACACATGCAAATGTATGGTTGGATGCAATTAAGCAATCAAATAGTTTGTAATCACTTACTAACTGATTGCAATTTCTAGTTAACGAAATCGATTTGAATTGACGCAATATTTTAATTGCTTAGATGTACATGCAACACAGCAGTAATTACAAAACTAAAAATTCCATGTCTGCCTCAGCTCTAAAAATAATAAATCGCTTTCTTTCCACTAAAGAGGTTTCATTTATGATATTATCAAAAATATTTCAAATTCCCTTAATCCTTTATAATTTTACATTTACACATTTTTTATTTCTTAAATAGAAAAAAAAAAGAATTCCTTTCATCTCAATTCGAATTTTAATTTTATGCATAAAAATTCTCAACATCTGATTCCTTTCCTCTAAAAAATACCGGATTATTTCAATTCAAAATTATGATTTTGTCAAAATAATTGCAAAAGCAACTATTCATTGTTTTGTAATACAAGTATATATTATTATGAACTTACAAAAATATCAATGTGAAGGCTTTTCAACTTCCATGATTCTTTTTCCTCACAATATGCAGTTTATATAGTTCTTTACATAATTTCATAGTTTCGTATATAATTATTTATTTTTAACGCATTGTTAGCAGTTAAACATTGCATTCGTTATATATAGAAGGAAATATTATAGTCGAGCATAAAGATTAATGAATTTTCGAAAATATTTAGTTTAAGTGTTGATTTTATAGAGAAGCGATTGTCTTAGAATTTATTAGAGTTGCATTCATTTCATTGTTTTGTGATAAATTTCTGATAAATTTGGAATTCCGTATCTTACGCAGGATGTAGAAATTTAATGAAAGTATGACATTTATAAAAATATTAGTTGTTAGACTGTGTCCGGTTTAAATAAGGGTTTTAATAGAAAAAAAGAGTTAGGATGACGATTTAAACGTAAAAGCACTTATTTCTTGCCTTAATTTCATAATAAGCTGCGATTTTAGAGTCTGAATTTGAATGATTTGTGAGCAAGAATCGCACAATTTTAAAAACACAACAATATCGAATATTGTGAAAAATACATTTAGAGCCTTACCCGCCAAGCATCTACTAGTAGAAATATGCCCATTAAAATTTAATCTTTACCATATATAAAAGTTTATGAACTTTCAGGACAAGGATTTTATTGCTTGTTCCTAACATTTAATTGCAATCAATCCTCCTTCCATAAATTACTTCCAAAAGAATTGTGAAAATTTTGCGAAAAACTATAATATAAAAGCAATATTGTTTTCAGTTTTTCTCTCATTCGACAAGGATTAAAATTTAATTTTTGTGATAAAAACTGAATTCATAGAATAAAGAAAAATTCATCAAACTGTAATAAAGAAGGTTAATAAACTCCATAATTTTTATTTTCATATTATTTTTTTTTCAACAAAATATTAAAAGTTAACAATTCGAAAACTAAAAAAAAATTGTAGCTCTATAATTGAATTCATTTTCTTTTGAAAATTTGTTAAAAGTATAAGTATGTAATTTAAGGGCGTCATACTTCAAAAAAATTTTATGGAAAAAAGGATTAATTGAATGAATAACAAATTGAAAGAGAATTTTGTGTTGTGTTTTTTATTTTAAAGCAAATCATTATTGCACTTTGTAATGCGTCAACAAGAAAATCATTGCAACGAATGTAGAGAAATAATTAATAGCTATAGATAGGAGAATTGCAGACTTTTTGACTGATTGGCATTTATAGTTGACGTAAATTTGATGCTCATTATGCCTTTAATTTATATATATAAAGCTTTAATTTAATGTACTTGTGCTCATATTAGATTATATAAGAAGTTTAAGGTTTTATAAGTACGGCAGGCTTATCACCTACTTAGTAAACTCAATGACTTAAAGAACTGGTTCATGGTTATCTACAATATCATGCACCTACCAGGACCGAAGAGGGATGAAAAAAGAATGTTTTATTAAACGATTGTAAATCTATAGTTCCAATCAAAAGAGGGAAAAAAATTTCAGACCTATAAAAAGTTTTAAGAGCTCTGGTAAATTTTGCAGCTGAAATATGAAAATTTTTATTCAAGTGATTAAATTTTCACTTTTGTATAATTAAACTTTTCTCCTGAGAGAATTCTGGAGCACTTATTTGATATTGATAAAGTTTTGCAACCCCCAATTCCTGAAACCTGTTATTTTGGTATCGCAGATTTTGTTTGTTAAAAAAATTTTAAGAAAGAGTTCTACACAGAATATTATTAAAATCTTATCAATGCAAATTATTCTTGAAAAATCTTAAATTAGATTTTGGATTCAGAAATGTTATTGTAGTAAACTAGCTTTAAAAAAGTAATTTTTAAAATGCTAATCTAGATAATAGCTAATATCTTTGAATTCCTTATAAAAATATTATGAAAAATATGAAGGCCTAATAATATGCAATTTTATATATATTTATCTTTACTACACATAATATTTTTTTCTAGTCTCAAGTCACATTCTTCTTTATTAAAATGTTTTTGCATTTAAAAATGCCTACCTTACCTCCAAAATTTTTAAAAGAAATAAAAAATTATCCGCTCATTTTATTTTCTTAAAATTTTATTGATGATGCATTGAATGGATTATGTTAAACTATAGAAATCGTAATTTTTGTTATACGCTAAAACAATCTCTATATATACATAGCTATTATTGCTGTACAGCTACAATAATGCTACAATAATTTATATGTTTTTCTTTCTTTTGCAGAATCAAGGTAACAGGTCAATATTGCAGATATTATGATAGGTTAGTAACATATTACAAAACAAGAAGAATTTTTACTGTTAAATTCCTGTCGTTATAGTGTTATGAATTTAATTTTCTATATTAAAAATTTCAAGGTAATTTATATACAAAAAAAATTTTGTTTCTACATAAAATATATATATATAACAATACATACACAAACTTTCTGTTGCTTTTACTTTGTAAACATTTTCTATTTGTTTTAGTTGATTCACGACATGATAGTATTATTATGTAGTTATGTGGCGTCTGTAAATTTGTATCTGAGCGGTATATTATTTTCTGTAAAATTGAATATTCAACAATAATTTTTTCCTGTTAAATAATTCAATGTTTAGAAACATTTTTATTTATATGTAAAAATATAAATGAGTAAAACTGTTAAATCATTAAAAATTGAAGTGTTTCTACTCGATCGAACAGAATTATTCTTATATTGCTATTGCTACTTTTCAATTCTGTTAAATAATTTATTCTAAATTGCAAGTTTACTTGCAAGAATAAATCGTCTGTTGAGAATTTTAGGAAACTGGAAACACATATTATTTAATGTTATTTTTAAATTTAATTAACTGTTATACATTTTTTTTAATTCTTATTCTCAATACATTAACGTTCATAAGGTTTGAATAAGCTCCAAAAGAAAAATCCGTTTATTTATTAAATAAATTAAAACAATTGTATAACAATTTGTATAACAATTACTAATTCTTTTTGAAAATTTTAATTGTAATTCTCTAAAATTCACATATCTGTGATGCAAAATTTAAAATTTTCTAATTTTTCTTTAAATAATATGAAAAATCACTCATAAAATTTCTTCAATTTGTTACCGCTGGCTCTATATGTTTCCATGTCTTATAACAATATAAGAAATATTCCATTAAGATTATGATTTTAGCAAATGATTCACTGTCAAAAATATTTTCAATGAAAAAAATTTCACGCGAATTAGTGCATTATAATTTAAATAGGTGTAATCAAGGATTAAAAAAATTTTTTTTTTGTTTTTTTGTTACTACATCAAGAAATCATAATAATTTTTACTATAAAGAGAGTTTTCATAATCTCAAAGAAAATTAAAAATCATATGAGATTCAACAGAGCAGAAATAATAAAATTGAATTCTGAAAGAAGATGTTAAATTTTGATTTTATTATTTGAAGTGTAAAAGAAATTTTTTTTAATGTAAAATTGAAAAAATATGCGATTGTATAACAACATAATTTGTAAATGCATTTATGCATTACATATACATAGTAAAATAAAAATTTAATAAGGATGATGATTTTTAAAGTTTATTAAAAAAATAAAACTAAAGTATTTTTTAATATTTTGTAATTTTTAATTAAAAATTTAAAATTTTTGTATAAAGTTTTGTGGAATAATTTTTCTTCCATTGTAAAATTTTCATGTTCTCTCCTACCAGAATTATAGATGAATTTTATGAATAAAATTTTTTAAATATTTAGAAAATTTTATCAAAATCTTAAGCCCAAAATAATGAAATTAAACCATATTCATACATTTTTCACGAACTGAAATCACCTTGGATTAGAAAAATTAAAATTCTTAACTCAAAGCCTGTTGAGTATCAAATAAATTAAAAATCATTTCATTGCAATGTTACTAAATCTTAATTATCAAAATATTTTCTATTTATATTGCCTACATAAGAAGTTTTCTGTAAAACTTTCCAGCCTATTGACTAGATCAATTAATGCGTTAGTGCTTAAGAGTTATTTGTGATGTTTTCAAGGCATTTATAGATATTACAGGAACAGTTTAATTAAACTATTCAATTTACATGTATTACAGGAACAATTTAATTAAACTGGTCAATTTAATGCTATTATTCAGCCTCAATTCACTTACCAATTCATCTTCAAAATTTCAGTCATTTGAAAGTAAATACAAGAATCTAGTTCCTCTGTTTAATTAAACTATTCATGTTATTTCTTTATGTAAATTTTATTTTTGAAAACATTTGCTCACAAAATTACAATGTTAATTTTCCTTATTGAATCCACATAAGTAAGAGAGGCGAGTTCTTACGCCATTATTTTATATTATGCATTAATATATGTATTTAATATTTACATATATTTATATTGACTGATACTAAATGTGATTTCATCTTAATTTAAACAATAATTAAGTATTAAAATTATGTGGAGCAATATATTCCAAGTACATACATTATAATTAACTAAAACAAATAATATTTTTATAAAATTACTCTACTTTACATGTTAACAGAATGAATCAACTAAAGGTGAATTTTCTTGAACTGATACACTTTGTATTCCTGATATTTTTCTAATACTATTGTTATTAATTTGATATGAATCTGAATTCATAACTGATGATTCAACAAAATTCTTAACAGAATTATTTTCAAAATTCTCATTATCTTTGTTAAATACAAACTGTTCAGTTCTAATTTCATTTAAATTCATTCCATTTAATTCATTACAGTATTTAACACTTCCTTTTCTTATTTTAAAATTATTTGTAGATGAAATTTCATGCATTTTTAAACGTCCAACTGATTCAATTGAATCATCACTTGCAGGATCCAATGAAGCTGCTGATGATACACATGGTAATAAACCTGCTGAACATAGTCTTTCTAAAAAGTAAAATTTTAAATTATTTTAATATTTTAATAAATTTTAATATTGGTACAAACCTAATCCATTTGGTGAATTTATTTCAGCTCTTACTTCATCTAATTGCTTAGAACTGCATAATGGAGTATCTACTTCATAAGTATTATTAAACTTTATATGATCTACTTCATATTCTCCGGTTTCTTTTTTAAAATTCACTACTGATTCAAAACGATGTCCCCATAATATTTCAGATGGTAAATAACTACTACGTGCTTGTGTAGTCATACCAGTTGATTCAACAACACCTTCTACAATTTATATTTTTTTTTGTTTTTTAAATATTAAAATTTTTAACAATACTCAAAAGATTTTATTATAGTGTAAATAACTTACCAAGCATTACAATTATTTCGAAACGTTCTTTTAGCATATCCTGAGCCGAAAGGGCATAAAGTGGACTGTGTCGATCAATTTTATGTACAATTATAGTTGGCCATATAAATAATAGACGATGTTCATTACCATCCGATCCAACTTTAAGTTCTTGCTGATAAAATGGAAGCTCTTCTCCTTCTTTTGTTATCTAAAAAACAAAATTTTTGAATTGAATGAGAAATTATTGAAAAAATATTTATATAATGTAAAATTTCTATAGAATTGGTGATATTATCAGCATGTATGGTCTGTGTATTGTTTGGAAATGTTGATAAATTTCTTTATTTTATTTAAAACAGTATTGAAGTGGCCGTCATTAAGCGTACTATAGCAAGAGGCCTATTTAAGCCACCCTGTTGTTTTAAGAATTCTATCGAAATCCCCGATGTCAAACTTCAATATCTCGATCAACCCCGCCAGTCTTCTCCCTTACCCCTACGTTAAGAGTCTGGCCTCGCCCAGAGCCGAACTCTAGGAAGTCTATTCTCCTTGGAATTAAACTTGCTTGATGTGCATGTTAAAATCTAATTTTGATTCTTATTAATCTTCCAATTCTTATTAATTGAATTCTAGTTTTTGAACATTAAAAGAGCCTTTCAAAAAAAATTCCGTTTAATATTTTTTGGATATTTGTCCGATTTTAAGCATCTGATTTCTGCATTCTGCTTTTAAATTGGGTCGATAGAAGACAAGTTCGCCGCTCATCATTAAATCCACATGCTTTAATGTATAAATTTATTTTACTACATCAAGATCATAAATTTACCTTTTTCCTTATAATTTGTGCTCTAACATGAGCTTCTAATATATGACTTTTACGCATATCTCCTACTCTGAACATTAAACATGGTATACCATCACGATGACAAATAACAGCATTCCTTGAAAATAAAAGTGTTTGTGCTCGTTTCTTAGGTCTATAAAAGAAAATTTTAAATGTTATAAAATTTTTTACTATTTCAATAATTCGAATTTTTTCAATACGTTTGATAATATTATACGAACCTAGATAATTTAGCAAAAACAATTCCAACCATAAAAGCTTGTATAATAACACCAGTTAAACATTGTAAACACATTATGAAAATTGCATAAGGACATTCTTCAGTTATATAACGATTACCAAAACCAATTGTATGTTGTGTTTCAACAGAAAATAAAAATGCTGATGTAAAGCTATGAATTTCTGTTATACAAACTTTAAAAGTTTCATTAAATATTTCTTGAATAGGATCATCATTATTTTCATTAATTATTGTAGAACTTGTCATTCTTATATATTCAATATCACCATGTTTATATGCAATTATAAACCAGATAATACCAAATGTTGCCCATGAAATAAGAAAACTTAAAACAAATATTAATAATGTCCAACGCCATTGTGCATCAACAAGTGTTGTAAAAATATCCTGCAAAGAAAATGTAAAATTTTTTATTATCACTTAATTTAAACTTCAAAACATAGTTTATGCTATAAATTGGGTAAGTTCAGTATATTGTTATACATAAATGCGTATACGTAAATTGAGGTATCGCTCATTACAGTTTTCAAATATTATTAATAGATTAAATTTTTAAAAATTATCAACAAGACATAAGATATTTCAGTTATTTATTGTTAAATATTTAAGGTTCAAAGACTGCAATGATTTACAAAATATTAAGACAAGAACTGCTTCATCCAATTAAGCAATTTATTTTTACGCTGCAAAATTTATGAAGCAGTTCAATTTAGACAGTTTAAACGAGGAATTGTTATATAACTAATAAGTCATTTAAACCACTTGAAAAATTTCAAGGGTTCATGTCAACTGAACGCAGCAGCACCGAAAAGGTAAAAATACGTAAAAGAAAACCAAATTTTTAATTGAAATTTGAAATTCTTCATAAAACTTCTATGAATATTAAATCTTAAATATTACCTGTAAATATCGTCTTCTTCGTTTTGCTACATTTCCTTGTACTATATTACAATCGCCTTGCTTAAAAATAACACGTTTCCTTAAACGTCGACAAGAGAAACGTCTTTGTTTGTATCTTAAAATCAAAATTAACAATAAAATTATGAAAAAAATTTCAGAAAATTTTTAAGTGATCTAATTACTAACCTATTACTGTCCGTATCATTATAAATACCATATTTTAGACATTCTTCATGCCATGCCTTCTCTTTTGAATGTGTCGGTCGAAAAACCAACTTTGACATTTCACTTATATAACTCAAAAATTTTGTCATCCGAAAATATTTTTTTGTATAATTATTATTAATTTTTATAATTTATTTTTCAAACAATAATTAATTTGATCTTATTTTTAACTACAAAATCATTTCATTAATGTTATTTTCTTTAATGTACAAAGAAGCACTGTATTATATACAAAATACGTAATTAAAAAATTTTTTTTCCACAAAATTTAATTTTTAATTTTCTTATTGATTTTTAGTTTTATTAATTTAAATTAATAATTTTATATTAAAAATAAAATTTAATGACTTCCTTTTCATTATCTATTAATTTTAATGGTAATTATCTTGTAATTAAAATATAATTTTATTTTTAATTAATTGCAACAAAAAAAAATAAAAGAGAATAATTTTTGACCGTATTTTAAGGTATAAGTATTATCAAAGGAGAAGTCAAATAACTACTGGTACTTTTTAAACCTAAAGCATATTATATTGCTTAATACCTTCCTTTTATTCTCTTCCTATATATTCTCTATTAATTTATTTTAATACTCATTTCAATTATGCATTTGAGAGAATATACAATTTACAAATAAATTTACAAATAATTTTTTGTCTAATGTTGTAATATGCAAAATTCTCAAATCTCTTGGCTTAATTTCAAATTTGTATAAATGGTGCATATTTCTCATTATAACAGTCATCTCTTTTAATTTATAACAAAAAATTTGAATACTCTTATTTAAATTCATATGTAGAGTAACCATATAAAATAACCATATTATATTTTGTGATACAACATTAATAAAATTAACGTGATTAATTAAATTAACATTATAGCGTGATTTTATTTTATTAAAGTAAAAAAGATATTTTTTATATCAGCTAATTCTTAAATAAAATTTGAGAAAAGGTAAAATTGCTAGCCATTTCTCTTGGTAAATTCATTACAACTAAACGGACGATAGCTTGTAAACAAATTTTCACTTAAACTTAAGAAATTAATATTGTTAGTTTTACATTTCATGTTTATTTTAATATAAATTTCACTTCTCTCTCAGTTCTTAATATCTTTAATACAAAAAAATCTAATGTGATCAGCACATAAATCGAATTCGATTCAGCTGAACATGAGACACACGTGTAACAACACAGACTGACAGATAGACCGACATCTCTCTAAAAAAATTGTTTATTTACACTTCCCTACAATGGATAAATGCATTTTCAACGAAAACTTGACATGTGAAATTTGGTGCCATCACATAACCTCCCTTATTGTATGCAGTGCGTTCGGTAAAAATGTTGATGCTAGCAATATTTTTATCTATAATTTAGATTAATATAAAATAAATGATATTTTTTTAATGATAAAGTAATATGGAGTATAATATGAAACTATTTTATTTACATTACGTATAATAGCTATCGATGTACATAAGAACTCTGATACTCGTGTGATTTTATTATGAATTCAACATCAAATAAAAAATGTTTTCAATTTATGAAAATTTAAAATAAATAAATATTTTTGAAGATTGGCCAAAAAAAAAAAAAAATCTAAAATTAACATTAAATAATATTGTGATGCATTAATATCACTATGAATGTATGTGTATAGGTACAGAATATTAATCTGTACGATGTCGTACTTATAAGTGCACATGTAATAAATATTATAATTTGAAATGACTAAATTAATTATTGTATTGCGTGAATTGAAAAAAATTGAGTAGGATTACCAAATTTAAGAAAATTATAGTGAAAAATTTAAATATTTTCGAGGCAGTACTAATATGATGTTGAGCTTCTGCTTTTTAAATAAAGTTGAGTCAAACCAATGGTTTGTATTGTAGCATTTTTCTCTTCAACAAGTGAAATTACTGCTTTTAAATACAGTCTATGTATACCTATCACACTATAAAAATTATTTTCATTCATATACGAAACTATTTCTAGGATGGCATATAGTTAGGATGAAAGATTTATGCAGTTTTTGAAATAAAGCAAAAATTAATAAAAAGTGGGGTTAACATAATGCTAGACTTTAAGGGTTAATTGTATGAGTTAAGAAAAATAATTATATTTTTTAATGTCATGGAATTTACCGTTAGCTTTTTGCGTTTATAGAAATTTGAAAAAGCTTCCGGTTTCGGAAATATAAGGCATCAAAAATTCAAATTTTACAAATTTCAAGAGGCGATAACTTGAGAGGGGGTGGAGATGGAAAAAAACTTTCTTCTAACGAAATGAAGCATTTATTAGTGTCTAAAAGCCTCTAAAATTTCAAGCTTGTACAAGCTGGGATCTAGAAGAAAATGACATCAAAAATTTGGAAAAAAAGGACTTTAGATAAAAAATGGTAAATTTGAACGGCCATTTTGTTTTTTTAAACTTTAACTATAGTATACCGCGCTAGGGAAAGCAATCCGATGTCTTTCTGCGTTTGCAAAATTTGAAAAATGCTTATGGTTTCACTCCACTAAATAGTTAAAAAATGGCATTTTTTAGGTTTTCGGGTGGGTATAACTTCTAAAGGGGGGGAGATAGATAAAAATTTTGTTCTAAGAAAATTAGTTTCTAGTAAAGATCTATCTCCATACAAAATTTCAGCTTTCCATCTTCAAGGGTGTAGAAGTTTTGTAAACAAACACACGGACAGACGGACGGACGGACGGACAGAGTGAAACTAATAAGCACTTTTTTTCAAAAATTTTTTGGAAAAGTGCTAAAAATTATTAGCATTTTGTCTAATATGCTTATAATGCTTACGCTGTCGATTCCATTTTAAATTTCATTCAAAACATTTTCAATTTATAGAAAATATTTAAATTGTAAGAATAAGAAATTCTGAAGAATTTTCATACTCATACGAATGTTATATTCGAAGTGTATACTAAATTTGCTTTATTGTTTGTCACACTAAGAAACAATGGTCTGAGACATAAGTGTATATTTTGGATCAGCTTTGAATTCTGAATCGATTTACTTATGTTTGTCCGACTGTCCGTCCTTCCGTCCGTTCCTCCGTTCGTCCTTCTCAATGATAACTCAAAAACTAATTAAACAAAGCTCACCAAATTTTCAGAAATGATTTCTTAAGGTAAATGCGAGAATTCTATTTAAATTGAGTATAATCGAGATACTAGTTTGGGTAGCTGTTATATAACTACAAAATTTATTTTAGCTATATCTAAAGCTAAAATTATAAAAGCTATGGCATTGAAATTGCGCTCAAGGAAAATATATTATTAAGGCTATATTGTGTTTGATAAAAATAGTTGAAATTCTTGGACATGTAGTGGTAGCTGCCATACCATTTCGAAAGATACATACTCGAAAGAATAAAAAACCGGGATTACTTGACAAACAACAAATAGCATTTAAAATTATTCATTTATACGGGTATCACAAAGTTAACACGGTCAACTTTACTTATTTTCGTTTTCAAACTTTTTTCTTTTCAGATTAATTTTCCATATTCAGTGCGCCTTATGAACGTTTCTGGCCTAAATTACACTTTTATATCTTAAATTTTTATTAAAATATGGTTTCTTGTATTTGGATACCTGTAGTCATCTTATTATTTTCTACGTTTTAAATATAATAGTAAATTGTATTCAATAATATTAACCTATATTATTAAATTTTATAATAAAAGAAAAAAAAAAGTGCAATCAAAAAGTTTTTCAATCCAAATTTTCATTTCATGGAAATTTTTTTATGAATGAAAAGTTTTATATCTAAATCTATTTTTAAAAATTTGCCTTTAACCAAGATTGTGACTCGTTTCGTATAAAATTTAAATATTACCTATATTGATAGTATTTCAAATTTTAATTGTGGAAGTTGGATTATAGGGTGGCTTCAAAAATTTATATTTGTGATATTCCCAAGTAAATATTTTTGTGTATATGTTGCTTGTCTTGTACATCTTAGATTATGCTGCTATAATAGTGACTTATACTTAAAAATAAAATAATTATAGGATCTATTGTGCTCTCCCAAATAAATGCGTACTATGTCGTCTTAAGTACGTTGTAATCTTTCTTTTTATTTTTTATAAAAGAACTTTAAAAAATATTAAAGGAAATAAAAAATACACTTAATCTAAGAATATTATATGCTTTATTTATATGAAAAACATTGTAGGTTTACAATATTAAGAGGCCCTTAAATTGCTTAAAAATATTTATAAGCAATGTATGTAAAAACTTCGGGATTGTAGTAACATTAATTATATTATAACACCAATTTCAATTGTTACTTTCAATTTTGCGAATTTAATCGACGAAAATGGTATTTTGTTTTTGGTTTTCTGAAAAGTATTTTAAAACATTTAATGAGAAAATTTTCAATTGGATATGTTGAAATGTTGTTTCTTCTAGAATTTTTCTTTAAGAATCTGCAGCATCTATCAATCATATCTTTAAGATCTTTACGAGTACTCTTTTTACTATCATAATAATTATCTATTTCTGTCATTAATTTCGAACCATCTGAATTTTTTATCGGTAGTAGATCGATGGTACTGGTATCATAGTTATAAAGGCATGCATAACATTTACAATAAAATTTAAAATTAATCAATAACATTTCCTTTCGTTCGCTTGCAGATTTATAAATATTATTTAAGCTGCAAAAATTTAAAATTCATTACTGTTAAAATATTATTTAATATTATATTCCAAAAACTTACAAATAATTTATGGAAATCTCTTCATTTTTCTTAATATTTTTAAGAACGTGAACACTTAACTTATTATCGGTTATTATAACTGCACAATTTGGAATACAAGAATGATTAATAAAACTTCCAAAATTTTGAATATACAAGGTTCCATCATTTTGAAATGAATTCCATAATACTATTTTGGAAAAGTTGACCATTAAATTTAAAAATGCATTTTGATCGTATTTATAATCTGATTTAAATGAGGTTTTCTTTACAACAAAATGATCAATTAGTACACTGAAAGCACAAAACATTTCATCATCAAAACAATTGTTGAAATTTTCACCTTTAATTTTTAAGTTACTAATTCCAAAAGATCCATGCTTCTCTAAAAATAGTTTTTTTAGATTATAATCCTTGAAAGCATTAGGTCTATTAAATGTTTTTATGCTTTCATAACATTTTTTCAAATCATTGTCGTAAGCACCAATAATTTTCATAATTATTTTGAATGACAAACCAACTTGTAAATATTTTCTTAAAATTCCAATTATAGGGCATTCAATTTTATGAATTTTTTCATCTTTCTTTAAGCATTCCTCATTACAATACATTGTTTTAGTACAATTTGGGCATGGTATAAAACAGGAGATCTCATTATTCCGGCAATATTGACAATATGAATATACTCGAAATTGATTTAATACAAAAATAATGTCATCAAATAAAATTATATCACCTGGTTTTAAAGTTTTTTTAGTAAAAATGCCACGCCCTTTATTCGATGTATTTCGTATTTCTAAATCATCAATGAAATTTGGTACATCCGGATGAGCTGGATATGATAATTTTAAATTTAATTGAAAATCATCATTTTTTGTTTTGTAATTTTTAGCACAAATTTCTTCTTTGTATTTCATTCTTTGAAGAAGTTCATTTGGTAATTCAACTTTAATATTTTTTATAATTTCAATATTTCTTAAACATTTATCATAATATTCCAACTTTAGCATAACCTGTGATCGATTCATAAATGCTTTAATAATATTTAATGAAGATGTTGGAGCAAAGCATATACTCTGATTATAAAATTCCAATGCTTTATAGAACTCACCATTACAATAAAAAATGTTACCTTTAAGACGAAGTTTTTCAGATTTATCTTCATCTTTGTATATATCTTTATTAGTTTCCTTTTCGATCTGATTAAACCAGATAATTTCTTTTTGAAAATATTTAATTCTTGACTCAAAATTTTCAGACATAGAGATGAAGCTTCTGTTTAACCAAAAACGTAGGCAATATTCCATTCTTTCTCTTTCAATATAGCTCATGTTGAAAAATTTTCAATTTTACACTTTTTCTATTCTTACAGTTGAAAAAAAATTTAATCGATTTATAACAATAATTGCAATTAATCGAAATAGTTCCGGTTAGGTGTTTCACTTTCTAAAATCAAATTCAATTTAAATGAAAATGACAAGTTCGTGATATTTATAGTTTACATAAATTGTAAATTCCCTTATTTGGTGTTTTTTAAAGCAGTGATACCAACTGAAATATTCTAATTGGAATATGGTAATTAAAGTTTTTGCAGTAAGGTCAAGTTGAATTGATACAAGGTTGAAACTCCATCTTTATCAATTTAAATACCAGTTGTACAATAATTTGGCCTGCCTTTTGTCAGCATTTTACTTTGACAAATAATATAGTTTTTACATTATCAATCTTTTTATTCTAGATTTGAGGATTGTTGGAGGGGAATAAAGGCAAAGAAATTCCTGCCCTCCATCCACCGCAGTCAACTATAATTTATTGTAGCCCTCCCATATACCAATTAGACTATCTCGATTCCAAGTAAATACCCGGAGATATCTCTCAGGGAGTTTGACGTGAGCTCCACAACACTGAGAAAGCCCCGTCCAAACCATCTGCACCTCTTGACAGCCAGAACAGAATGGATACACAGAATATATATATCCTTGTCATCATCGCAGAATTTAAACAAAAGGAATCCCGATTTGCCCAGTTTGTGCAAGTGATATTTCATCGGACAATGTTCAGTAAAAAAACCAGTAACAGGTCGAACCCGATTCCGGTCAATCTCAAGAAGCTCTAAAGAGAACTTCCTTGAGCAAAATGGAAGAAATAATTTCTCATTATGATATCCTTCAGTAGCCTTCCACCGAAGAACCGATTCCCCCTCAAGCAGAGCACCAAATCTGTCCCTGATGGCAGACATTGACAATTCACGAAATGTTAAAGGAACAAAGGAACCTCATCAATCATTATATACTTAATCAACAAAAAACAAAATACTTATTTATCTTAAATAACTTACTCGTGGAATTCTATTACTATTCTAATGCTTCTTTTGAATTTTCTTTTAGGTTATCCTAAATTTATGCAATATATTTTAAAGTAAGGAATTACAATAGCTGGTAGAAATGTAAAAAATATTTCATATTGAAAAGAAATTTTGCCGACAAAGACCTTAAGCTTTTATCCATTAAAACTAATTTTCTCCAAATGGCAAGCAACTTCGACTACTGCAACACTATGGTCCAGATATAATAATAAGAAATAATTTAAAATTTTCATTATTTTATTAAAAAAATTTTTAACGAAACTATATAAAAATGGTAGCTAAATACAGTATTTTTCTTAGTTTACTAAAAATAAGTCTTTTAAAATTAAAATGTCTCATTCTGGTACTCACATTTTTCAGTCAATGTTTTTAGTTGCTTCACAAATTGGAATTCTGCTTTATTTATATAAAAGCCTTTTTCATTTTCTTATGGTTAAAATCTAATTAGCTACTTTACAGAAACAAAGTGACTGAATAATAATTATTCCTATGTTGAATGAATTTTGTATATTTTTCGGAAAATTTAAAATGTACATGATAGAATCACTCACTTTCTTACCAGCCATTGAAAAAAAAGGTGAGATACAGAATGAGGTCTTACAAAACTAACACATACTATTTTTAAATCAACCATGATTTATGCGTTATGCTCATTATATTGCACAATTTTATTGAATAAAATTATTTTAATTGGGAAAAAATTATTTACATAAAATTTTTCTTAAATTTAATTTAAAATCTCAAACCAAGTGTTATTTGAGACCTTAATAATACCTTAATAATAATATTTAATAATAATAATATCAGATTATGTTCAATAATTCTGATATTTTGCTTGAATATCAAACTTATTCTCATTATTAAATTTAATAAAATTCTAAAAATTTGATTAAATATTTTTTGCTAATTATTCACATTTAATTTCCATACGATAACAATTCTTTTCATCATCATCATTCCATTTAATTAATTGAGCAATTGGACGGCTTGGTTTCATCATAAGTGTTAAATTTCTATTTATATGTATTGGTGAAAATTTATTAACAATAATATGTTTACTTGGTTCCATATATTTTCTAACAAAAAATATTGTTCCATTATTATTCAATTTAATAAAATCTGATTTATTAATTAAATCATTAATGGTCTTATCATCATAAGCTTGAATTTCAATAATTGTACCATTATAAATTTTAATAAAAGTATGTGTTCCATTCAATTCATTTTCATTTTCAAACATTCTTTTAGAATTAGTTTTTTTTGCATTTAAATTTGAATTTATAATTTCACTAGTAATATTATCATTATCAATTATACGATATTTTACTGAGTTTTCGGAATATTGGTAATTATTATAGCCAAGTTTTTTACAAATTTCCCAAATATCTTTTTGACTTGGTAATGGTTTATTACGTGGAAAACATTTTGTATGCCAAACACCAAAAGATTGTTCAATTAATTGACCATAGCCGTCACTAAAATAACAAATAATTATTAATAAAATTTCATAGTTTAGAAACCTCAAATATTTATTAAAATGCAAAATAATTGTAAACAATTTAATTACCTTAACGACTTTGATTCTGGTGAATATTCTAAACCATAACAATATTCTTCATCTTCACCATCTGGACAATCTGCTTCACCATCACAAACAAAATCTTTTGGTATACATTCGTCGGAGCTATGAAAAAATTTTTACAATATTTTTCTTAATTTTGTTTCAATATTTTTATTTAAATTTCTTAAGTAAAATTACACGCGAGAAGGCGTCTAATGAAGCACATTTCCTTCCGATAATTTAAGCGGAAAATTTATGCTTTAAGAATTTTAATAGGGGAAAAAATCTTGAATAATATGAATTTCTTGAAAGTTACAATCTACTTCAATTTTAAATTAACTAAATAAATAATTCCGATTTCCCGTTTAGCAAAAAAAAATCAAAATAGCAAAAAAAATCTCTGCATAGTTAGCGTATGCAGAGATTTCTAAAAAATCGTAAAATACAAATTAAATTACCTTGAACATTTATAGCTGGTAGGAGAACAATTGCATATTGCCGGACTTTCATCTGATTTATCCCAACAATTTCTAATACCATCACAAATTTTACTCGAATTTGTTGCCCTAAAACAGAACCACAATAACTAATATAGTACAGTAATTACGGAAATGAAAAATCTTAAATAATTACTTACTGTAAATACGTATAGCATGAACAAATAGCTGGTTCATCTGTTAAATCTCCACAATCATCATAATGATCACAGAATTTTGATTTTGGTACACATTTTCCATTTTGGCATTTTATATCGGATGGAGCACATTTATCTGAAAATTTCAAGATTATTTAAATTCATTATATAAAATTGAAATTTTATTAAATATACAGAAAATTTAGAAATAAATTTTTTATAAACTACACAGAGTAAAATTAAAAATAAACACTTACTTTCTTGTCGTGCAAGACATAATTTACTATTTTCATCACTACCATCATGACAATCTAATTCAGAGTTACATATTTTGTGCTCTGGTAAACAATTTCCTAATGGACATCTAAATCCAGTTGAACAATCTAATACTGGCATTGAATAATATGCATCACAATCTGGTCGTTCTATTAAAAATATTATATAAAAAATCAAGGATATTGAAAAAAAACTATATTTTATAGGAGAATATTACCAATAGCTTTTAAAATTTCCTCATATGTTTCAGGACATAAAGCTTGAACTCTTAAATTTATTTCACTATTTTCCATTTCTTCATTACTTTCGCTTAATTTCTTACTATCATTGCATTTACTTTTAACTTCTCTTGAATAAAATGATATTGGATACCAACCAGATTTTGATCTACTTTCACACATTATAATACCATGATGGTTATTATGTCGATGATAATATGAATCCCCGTAATGTAATGAATCTAAAGGATCAAGAAGATAAAATTGAGAATTAGAAATGAGAATAGAGAATATTAAATTAGAGTGTAAATTGAAAAGACATTTCTAAAATTAGTATCCCTCTATCAGTCCGTGCGTGTGTACATCCCTGAGTAATAACAAAATTACCATTCAAGTTTTGACCGTTATCTTGAATATTGCATGTAGACGACAAGCAGACATTTGAATGTCTACATTCAACCAAAACTTTTATTAGACTTTTACTAAATTTTGCATGTATAGTTCCCTAGATACATAAAACGGTACCCATATTTTACAATTTGGGGCAAATCTCGTTCATATCGTCTACATATATTATATTTTTTCATTCATAACTATGTATGAACACTTATGCAATACTCGATAGACAACTGTTTTTTTTATATTATGTTGCATGAATGTGCATATTATGTACTCACCATTTAAAATTTGCATTTCTTCATTTTGATAATTATTATTGCCTTTACAAAAATTCAACAATTCTTTTTCATATGAATTTTTTAAAATACTATTTAAACATAATGTTGTATTTTCATCAGAATCAGGATCTAAATTTGAATTATTATTATCCTCGCAAGTAGATTCCTTGACAGTAAATGTTTTAATTTTATCCAGTTTATCATAAGTAACACTCATGCATTCATCATGATGATTTTTTTCTATATAATTTTCTTCGGAATCATTGTCGTCGTCGTCTTCATCGTCATCATCATCATCATTATCATCATCATCATCAATGCCGTGATTATTCCTGGTAGAATTATATATTCATAAAAATAATAAAAAATCAAAAATTTATATATACAGTCATGTTAAATGTTCGTTGAAAAAAAATACTAAAATATTAGTTGGCACCTAAGGAAATAAGTTTACAGCATACGAGTAATAACAATAAGAATAAGCCGGTAAATAATCGATAAACATTAGAGTTTCGGAAGAGCTTAAAGGAAGAAACTAATGGGTAACAAAAACCAAGTCAAGAATTTTATATAGCAGGCCTAATTTGGTATCATTATTGTGTTGAAATCGTAATTGAATTCATATGACTGAAGACTACCATGTTAATGTGCCGAGCATTTGCGTCTACTTCACACGGAAACTAAATATTTTTAAAGAAATGTAAATAATAAAACAAAAAATTGATGAAATTGTCTTTAGATTCCAACAACTGGAAGTTCATTTAACTGTAGAAATTTACTCAAATGTTCTGAACTTTAAAATAGTTCTTTCATTGCAACTGTATATAAAATTTATGACACTAAAAAAGTACAATGTAATTGTAAAAATAAAATAATGAACAAAAGGATCTTAAAAAGTTTTTATCCTCCATCTCTTCTTTTTATACATTTTCTCTTTTTACATATCATTCTACTTTTACCTTTCGTCTCTGCTCAATGCTGTTTTGTTCTAAATGCCACTTTTATTAATTTCGCGTGTTAATTAGGTTGACAGTTCTCTGATCAATTAATATTTCTCTTATTTTTGAAAATATAATAAACACGAAGCTGGACTCTATTACCAATCATTGTTTCCCGTGTGATCCAGAATTGTGTATTGTAAACTTAAAGTTAAAAGAAATTCGCAAATTGTAGGTGAATGTATTTCAATCCGAAAACATATTCTATACTCCTATAACCCGACAATTACTCTTAATTTTTGAATGGGAAAAACTAAAATTTTCTATACGAATTAGGACAAACTTTAATTTTTACAAAATTTTATTCCAATTTCCTAAAACAACAAACTGAATATTTAAAAGCTCATTATTTCGAAAACAGTATTTCGTCGTATATCGCAAATTAATATTAAGGTAACACAATGACAATATTAAAAATTTTGTAAAAAATTTTTTATTACTATATACAAGAAAGGCATCGAATCATGTTTTCAAGACTGATTTGAAGGATTTTTTTTTGTGCATATGCATCACATACATTCTCAGGTGGTATGAAGTTAAGGGACCCAAGCAAAAAAATAAATAGACAAAGCAAAATAATGGAAAGAAATTGTGATGCTTTGACGTGAAAAAAAAGTCTACCAAAGAATTAAATAAAAAAAAAAACTTTTTTTTTTCCTCCACTAAAGTTTTCAACCAAAAGTGTCAATAAACTTAAATTGAAGTAGGAAAAAATTAACGTAAAATAGGCACATACCTACTTTGATTATTTGGAGAAAGTAAAATTGGAAAACAAATTAATTCTAGCTGGTTTTCATGTACATAACTGTGAACCTGTACGCCGTAAAAGTCATAATTTCACATTCAGATCGTAACGAGCTTTTTTATTTAAATAATCGAAAAATTACGTCAAAAATACTTTTAAATTCAGAATTAGAGGGAATCGGGAACAATATGAGCGATGCCAAAAATATATTGGTGTACATAGTGTTCCAACAACTTATTAAGTCCGCAAAGTCTATCCGAAAAGGTAAAAATTATTTTGCAAGATGCTCAAAGCTTCTGCCAGAATAAGGATGCCATAGAAGAAGGGTCCATACAAAAATCCTTTGAAGCAGTTTTATTTCTTTACAACGAATGACTGTTAACTATAAAGATAGCATTTGCATTACGAAAAATTTTCGTATACTTACTTTATTGGTAAATATGTTGGTAAAACATGCCTTGAAACTTCAATTGGATTCTCTAAGTGTAATAGTAAAACATTCGATTGAACCGATTTCATACAATTTATCCTTCGAATTTGTTCATATGGTCCTTTGTATCCAAGGTCTTTCTTATTATTACCCATTAATGCGGTTACCCAATCTTTTTCCAGGCTATTGAAAATAAAAATAAAAAAAAATTTCCAAAAATTTAAAAAAAAAAAAATAAAAATTTAAATTTTTAAATCATGTAATATATATGTATGTATGTATGTTCAATAATATTTTTAATTTGACGCACAATATTGACTATGTTGATCTAAATTTTGAAAAAAATGTTTATAAACATTTTTCATACACATTCCAAAATTTTTGTATTAGAAAAAATTTCCCTCTGCCTTGTACGACAAATTTAATGGTTTGTGTCCATAATGGTACTAAATTTATTAAAGTTCAACAAAATTTTTTCATATTTTAATTTAAATTCACAATAATTGTTAGTGTCAGTAGCTTTATTATTATAAAACAAAGTATTCACAATTGGCGTTTAAATTTTAATAAGTGAAAATGCGTTAAGTGACATTTATTTAAAAAAAATTTAGTATGGACTATGTAATATTCACAATAACAATTTTGAATATTGTATTTTAATCTATTGTATATTGTATGATTTATAATACAATTAACTTCACAATATGTTTACGAGATTACAAATTGAAAAAATAGAGAAATTTCCATTGTGAATTTTTCTATTGTAAGAGTGGTAATTATTGTATTTTAACTGCAATATTTGAAGATTCCGAATTCGTTGCTAAACGTTACTTTTAATGTTGAAAATTTTATAAATTAAAAATATTTTTCGGAACTTGCACAAAAAAATTCTCGTTTTATACTAGATTTTGTTCATTACGATTATTAACTGAACCTTATAATATATTCCGTGCTTTTCACTATATATTCACTATAGTGGAAGAAATGTTATAACAGAAGCGATAATAACAGTAAGAAACATTTTTAAGAATACCAATAATAAGAAACTAGTAAAAATTTCGAGCTTTTTTTTGGAATTGATGCTGTTTTAGACATTTCATATTCAAAATTGCCAGTGTAGTTTCGAGTAAATGTAGAATGAAGATTCGAATATATGTTGCATAAATAAAATTAAATACATACCTCCATGTTAAATAACATTTAGCTGGTACGGCAACCCAATGCTTATTCAATAAAACACCATTGCATTGAAATACACCATTAGCAAAAATTTCTACTGACCATGGATAATGTGGTGAATTTATATTATCTTTCAAATTATTTGAATTTTCAAAAGTTCTTTGATCATCTTTTTCATTTAGAATAGTATCGTTCAAATTAAATAATGTTGAAATATTAGATTTTAATACAACAAATGGTTTTTGATGCACATTAATAACTGGTTCTAATATTTGTGCAGAAAAATCTTTGGATAAACTATTACTTTCATCAACTTCATTATCGAAATTGTTATCAGGTTCATGAGAATTTGAATATTGTGAACATTCAATATACAATGATTTACAAATTTTTTTATCATCACTTAATGATCTTGGTATACGATAACTTGGTAATTGTGTTCGATGAATAAAATGTGATGACGAATCTCTAAATTCTGAAATTACTTCCATTATTGTTATTTTTTCAATCATATCGCTCTGTATATTTTCATTTGTGGTTCTTAACTGCGAATCTGGTGATGTTTCATCAATTATTAAAGGATCACTTACATTTGAAAATGTACTGCCTTTAAAACCTAATACTTTACAAATGTTACTGGTTGTGTTTGCAATATTTTTATGAAAATCGATTTCATATGAGCATATGATACGCCAAACACCGTTTTTATTTCTAGTAAAGAACCCATTACTATTTAATTGAGGACGTCTGTCTGGATCAAGTGCCACATGTTTTCCATTCGTTAAGGCAACTAAAAATTTTATTTAAATAATGGAAATTCTGAAATAATGGAACTACTTAAATAATTTTTATTTTATATACTTACAGCAGTTCAATTCGTCTTCTTTAAATTGACAATCAATTTTCTCATCACAACGTTTCGAAAGTGGTATGCAAGTTCTTGAAAGTGGGCAAAGGAATTCTCCTGTAGTACAATTATCTAGAAAAATTTATAGGTAAATAGCAATTTATAATGCAAAATATGTAAATGAAATGTTCTTGCAGAAAAGCTTATTATCAACCTACCACAACCCTTTTCATCGGTTAAATCTTCACAATCTGGTTTACCATCACATATGAATGAACTAAGATGGCCCTAAAATAAGAATTATTTTGTTATCATATTTAGATTTTCGGTGTTCAATTGTTTTCAATTTACTCTCAAATAATCTCTGCAGGTACATTCTTCTTCATCAGTTCCATCTTCGCAATCAATGATTCTATCACAACGATTTGTCATGTCCACAGATTGAAGAATTCTAAAATAAATTATAAAGGAAATTGCTTAATAATTTTCGCATCGATAATTTGAAAAATCCAAAAGTTATTTACCTCTTACATATAAACTTCTGTGAACCTGGTTTTAATGTATTAATACCACTTGACAGTTTTTTGAAATTTGTTTGATTATTTAGAGGATTTTCTTCTGATTGGTCATTTTGTGTTGAAAATGAATTTGAATTTTGTGTTGTTATTGAAATTGGCGCTTCCGTTGTGCTGGAGAACCAGTTAAGATCAGTTGAAGAAAAAGCAAATGTTGATGAAAATTCGTTCCATGATTCAGTTGTTAATTCTGTTGATGACTTTAAGATGTTACTGCTCTCTGTTGTTATATCACTTGTTTCCCAATTTGCCGTAGTTGAGCTATCATTTTGGTTGGTAAAAAATGTAGTGGTAATTGGTAAGGTAGTCGTAAAATCAGCGGAGTTCCCAGTTGAAGCTAGATTAGTGGTTGATGAGGATTTATTTATAGTGATGCTCTTGCTAGTAGTAGTTGCACCGTGTGTAATGGGAGTAGTACTTTGATTTTGTTTCTTTTCAAACGTTTCTGTTTTAGTTGTGTCATTATTACTTTTCAGTTCATCATTGTTTCTAAAGACGATTTCTTCTTCAATATCAGGTCGTTTTGATATTTCTTGGATATTTCCAACTAGGTCTGTTGGATATTCACAACCGACTTCATCCTCTCCACCCAAACAATCAACATATCGATCACAACGTTTTCGACTTGGAATACATTTTTCACCTCCCCAAATGCACATATGTCCGGAACAGTCTTGTTTAGTTGGTTGTGGTAAATTCATTCTATGAGATTCATATATCCACTTAGTAATCCAATTTTTGTAAAGAGAAATTCTTGTGTAAACACCAGGTTCACCAGCTCGTGCACATCCTTGTCCATGACTTACTACGCCAGCTAAATACCATTCATTTTCGTAGCCTTCACTGCGGCAAAATAATGGACCACCAGAATCACCTTGACAAGCATCACGACCCCCTTCATCCTCCCCAGCACAAATATTAAAAACTTCATTATCTGCCTTAGTTTTGCAGGTTTTCATTATCGGTACTGTTACTTCTCGTAAATGATCACCTAAGTTATTAATTTAATTTTAATAAATTTCAAGCACGAAATTAAGGAATCTTTAAAAATAAATAAGTTTAATCATACTTCCAGGTCCTTTTTCCCTTATAGCACCCCAACCAACTGCTGTACATAATGTATCTGGTTTGGGACCAATCATCCAATCAGCATCAGTTAGGCCACTTCTACCTTTATCAGGCAAGCATATTGGTCGGACCCATCTATTATATTTAAGTGGTTTTTCAATTTTTAACAGGGCTAAATCATGTACCATAGTTTTATGCTGATAATCATCATGAATAATAGCTTGCAAAACTTTTGATCTCTGTACATTAGAAGAATAACTACTACGACGTAGAAGTCCAGCTTCAACTTCAAAATAATGTCGTTCATAATCAACAAGACAATGCGCGGCTGTTATAATCTAAAATTATTAATCCTTAAAATTTTATAGGTGAACTTTAAAAGAAGTGTTTACCCATTCATTATTATATATTATACCGCCACAATGAAATTTGCCATTCTTATAAATAGCGACAATAAATGGCCATTTTAATGGTTCACATAATTGACCTCCAACTATTCTTAAATTACTTCGTTTAGATCTAGATAGTAATTCTTCTACAGGAGTTGTCATATTTTCATCTCTTTTATTTCTGCCTAAATAAATATCATCAAATTTAGTAGTACCGCATTTAAGTGGTGGACATCGTACATGAGTATATATTGATTGACCGTCTTTTTCACAACTCTGTGTAAATACTGGATGATAGCTATTAGGACTTTTATGTAAAAATGGTCCCGGTATGTTAGCAAATTCATTAAAAACTCTTGGAGCCTCAGTAAGTTTACCCACTTCATTTTCACATGCTTCAGTTGCGTATGCCATTGAATTTTCTCCACAAACTGGATACCATTTTCCTTTAAAATTACGATGAAGAATACCATCCGTGAAAGCTTTAGGTTGAAGCTTTGAAAAAGAAATAAAAATTGAAATGTATTATTACACCAGCATTTAGAGTATTACCATATTTTTGCCTCCAATATCACTAAGTATAGCACTACATTCTTTTTCATCATTTCCATTCAAACAATTTCTGTCACCATCGCATTTGTTTATTAAACTATAACACATCGACATACTTGAATTTCCTGATGCAATATATTCATGAACATTATTATAGCATGAGAACATTAGTTTATCACAACCAAAGCATCCCATTTCGTCTTCACCAAATGGACAATCTGGATAACCATCACAAATACGTGATTCATATAATCTAGATTTACAGGAACAAGCACTTTCATCACTTGCATCAGTACAATCAACTTTATTATCACACCATTTTGATTTATGTATACATTGGTGGCTTGAATGACAAGCTATAGAATCGGAACTGCAATGATTATTTTGTTCAGCGAAGTTTGATCTGCCATACGGTAAAGACATTTGATTTACGAAAGAAGCGTAAACAATATCGGTTTCTTGTGGAATATTTGGATAAAGATTTTTATCGCCTGCGTCTGCTTTTGTATTTTCATTACTGTTTCTAAAATTTCCTGCGTCATGTCTAAAGAATAAAGCTGGAGAATTACTGGCATTAGGCATATATGTACAAAATACTGGTTGTGCATTAGGGCTTATTGGTGTCATTAACGGTGGCTGCTTAAAGTGATGAATGTTTTGATGACCAAAACTGAAAGTGTTGTGTATAAATTTGAATAAATAATTTTATTTTTGATATTTTTTTTATTAATTATTTGAAATTCAGATATTCGATTATTTTGTTATATTCTTACTTTGCTGCCGATGTTGTTCCTCCAAATGGACTAACACTGACTCCATGCTGATTTATTGGAATATTTGGCTGTTGGATGTTTGGTATCGCATAATAAAAGCCTAAAATTTTCATTTGTAAACAAATTGTAAAAACTTGCATGAAGCTTTATATAGGATACCTGGATACATTCCAGCTAATGTACCTATAGGTTGGCCTATAGGTGCCGGAATTGACTGTTGCCATATTATTGGTTGGAAAAATGTTTTAAAATTCGATGGATTTGATGCAAAACATAATGGTGTTGATGGAATTCCATAATTTGGATTTACCATAAATTGGGCAGTTGCTTTTATAGTTTCACCAGTTACAGGAAAAACTCCACTTGTTTGTGCTTTTGCTGTGGTTGCTGTCGTATGGAGCGGTGGTGGAGGTGATGTTACTTTAATTGTATCATTATCACTTAATAAATTAGTTGATGAAAAATGTGGTGGCTTAGAATAAAAATTTCCATGTAGTTTATTTTTATCACCCATTGGAAGTACAGAATTATTTTCTAAAAAAATTTAAACAAATTCGTATTGAAATTTTGAAAATCCAAAAAATTTTTTTAGGTTTCTAAAATTAAAAGACTTACGTAAACCTCTCAAGTAAATATCAAAATCAAGCTCTACAGTACGAAATTGAAAATCTTTAGGGAATACTGCTTTCTTAGTAGTTTCTTCTTCATTTAAATCAACAGAATTTCGAGATTTCAATGATTCAGATCCATGTAGTTTACTCGCCCATTTTTGACCTAAATTATATTCTTCATGACCATATGAATTTTCAGGATCCCAATTAACAGCATGTGATAATGATGAATAATCAGCTATTAAATCATCATGAAAATGTGGTGGATCATTAAAATTTTTAATTGGAATATCAATGAAATCTACAAAACTTCTTTCATCATTGTTATTAATTAACTGATCATTATTTGTACTAACATAAATATTACTATTTTGATCAACATAACTAGAATGTGCACGACCTTTAATTGTTTCGGGTAATTCAGCTGTAGTAGTCCGTTCAGTAGAAGATCGATTACATTTTATTTTTGTAACTTTACCTTGAATTATTTTTGATTTTGGTGTTGTAGAAATAAATTCTTGTTCAGTAACTGTATCAGTTAATGGTTGTGTTGTAAAAATTTTAATATTTGGAATTGGTGATTTTGTAAAATCTTTATAATAATTTATAAGATGTGATAAATTAATTGATTCTTTAATGGTTGTTAATTCTAATTTTTTTATTGTTGGAATTTTGATTGGTTTATCTTTGAATTTGAATTTAATAAAGGTTTCACCTTTCAAATCATCACGCATATCTAAAGGTAATAACGGCATTGTTGATGTTGTCTCTTCATCATCATTATTATCTGATGTAGTAGTTTCTTCAGATTCACTAAATCTAGCATTAGTATCAGGAGATAATGATGATTTTGATTTCGATATTTCAATTTTAGTTGGTTTTATTTCTGTTTGATTTAATTTCTTCAGTATATCATCAATTTTCGTATCATTTGATTTATTAATTGGAATTTGAAATTCATCAGTATTAAATTCTTTTAATAAAGCTGACATTTTGGCCATTACTTTATGAACAACATGTTCGTACATTTCTTTAAAATAATGATTACAGTCCTGTTGATTATTAGTTTCTTTTTTACATCTACGAAATGCTTCTTCTAATTCAATTATTTTCCTTTCATCTCTTTTATTACGAACTTTTGATTTTAAATAATCATATGAAATTTGTAATGGATCTATATCTGAATTATTTATTACAAATTCTGATTTCTCTGAATTACGTTTGATTCGAAGTTTTTTTAATAGTGAACTTGTTATAAATTTATTTTCATGTGAAGTTTCTTCAATAATTGGTAGCAATTTATTAAAACGGCTTTCATATTTTTTTATTTGTTTTATAATATTTGGATCAATATCAACATCAATTAATTTTTCTGCATTATTTTCAAATAATTGGATTACAGAATTTAAATGGCTATTCAAATTATGAAATTCTTCTAATGTATTCCTTTCTATTGTTTTTGGAGTTTTACGTGGAAATTTTGTCATTTCATCTAAATGTGTTTAATTGAAAAAGGAAAGGAGTTGAATTTAGTAAAGTAGTTTGATTAAATTAGTTGCTAAATGAAATTACAGTGGGTACGTTTAAAAATATTGTTGTATTTCTAATTATTTCCAAAAATTTTTCTTTAATTTCATTTAAAAATTAAAATTTTCTATATATGTAGGTATCTAGATTAGTTTTTTTAGTTTTTTATTCTAAATTCAAAATTTTGCTTTAATCCAATTTGAAATAATTTTAATCAATTAATTATTATAGAATTACAAAAAGCACAGCAAATAGTTTTAAAAATTAATTATTTCAATATATTTATAAAAAAAATAAGATTATTGCATGTACCTTGCTGTATTGGTAATAATCCTGCGCATACTGCAAAAATTATTAAAGTTAATGTTAAAATAATTAAAACTAGTAAAATTTTCCATAATGCACTCAATTTTAATTTTGATTTAAATTTTGTAATTCGATCAGGTTCTGAAAAATAATAAAAAAATTTTTAAATAATTATGAATTTTATGAAAATTAGAATAATTTTATTTAATTCGTCATTTTAATAAATTAGTTTTTGTAATTAATGACTTATTATTTATACTATACACTAAACTAAGCACACTGCCTTGTTTCGTATTTTGAAATTTAATGTTTTAAAAGCCATTCACTTTGGAAATAAGCCATTATTATCTATAGAGTCTGTTAGAGATTATTTCAATAATAATAATTGAAATTTCAAAAACCAAGCTCAAACCAAGAGTAAGGAGAAAGTAAATGAAAATTAGCATATCTAGGCTTAGGTACATTACGTACTCAAACTATTCATTTAATCTTCTATCGAATATATTTGAAATTATATGAGCTAACATCATTTAAATAAACTGATTTCATTGATAAATTTCTGTTATAATGATGATATTATACGTATATGTTTTATAAAATAAACTTTAACACTAAACAAAAATTGCCAATAATATTTAATTTTTTATTATATTTTATAATATTTTTATGAGTATATGTGAAATAATGTTATACATATATTATAAATAATCATCAAAAATTTAAAAAGTAGTAGATTTTAAAAAAAACATCGCAGATTTCAAAAACATAATTTTATTGAGTTTATATAACCCTATCTTTTTTATGGGTGCAAATAATTGTGGTCGTTGCGATATTAATTTTGTATAAATTAAAAATGTTTTTAAATTGCAAATGAATTCTGTGACTATTTCGTTGTAAACCACTGTTTCTCTAATATTACACTACAATAGAAAATCTTCTAGTAATTTAATGCCTTCCTTTAGGCAAATTTTTCTTATTTATCACAAGATATTTTTTTGTTGTTTGATTATATTGAAATAATACTGAAATTTTTGCACAATGAGCGTATAACAATTTTGTTCTCTTAATTTAATGTTAAACCCAAATGAATTTTCAAGAAATTTTCAATAATTTTAGAAATTTTAATTTAAAGTTCTTGGATAAAATATTAAAAAAAAATTTTTTTGATATTGTAATTTGTTATTTATTAAATCACATTAAAATACACATATTCTGATATTCACATACAATGGTATACACAAATTTCATATCTGAATTATTATGTCTGTCGAAGGATACACTTAAAAAAATTTACATTACTTTCACAATAATATTAATAATTTTAAAAATTGATTTTAATAATAAGGATGAAAAAAATTTTTTTTTTAAAAAACAACTTTTATTCATAATATTTTTTTTTCCAAAATATTAAAAATCAAACAAATTTCTGTAATACCATTGAATAACCTTATAAACTTATAACCATATAAAGCCAAAATAATTTACCTTCAAGTAAATAATGATTTAAAGGTTTCATCTTAATTCTATATAGTCTTTTTTTTCCGTGTACATTCACTTATATTAAATTACACGAAATCGTTTCAAATTTTAACACAAAATATTCTTGTATTACTAAAATCATATATAAGCGCGTCTTACAAATAACATCTGTTTTAAACGCGAATCATTATTAAACTAAATTATAATTATAATTAATTAATATAAATTCAATTAGAAACAAAATATAATCATCAACAGTATTAATCAAATTAAAATTATTTTTTATTTAAAAAAAAAAAATTTACTTAAATCAATTCAGGTCAAAATACGGCAAAATTTGCTTAAAATTTATAAATACTGGGAAAGACCTATTAAAAATTTTTATATATATATATATTTTTTTTTTTGTTTATTTATTTTAAATATTAAGTTGAAAAATTTTTCTTTTTAATATTAAAATTTACAAATTCAGCAAAAATTTTTAAATACATATTTAGTTACTTTTATATAAAAGCTTTCTATAATGATATTTTAGGAAATTAATATTGTTATAAGCACCTACTATATAGAAATTCTATGCATAATGCATTCTTCTCTGAAGCTTTTGAATTCTATTTTCCCTTCTAGGGGTTTGACGAATTTATTTTCTAAATATTTTGCGATATTTTCTAAATTAATTTCGATATTATAGCTTTAATAGTTTCTGAGATAGTGCCAAATAACTTTTGAGATTGTATTACAACTGTTATTTATATGTTCTCATTGAAACAGTGGCTATTTATCTATATTTTTTATTTAAGATGTGATAAAATATCTATTAAAGTTGTACGGAAGCTACCACATGGAATTTCAATGATTTTTATCTCACATTACAGACTCAAAAATATATTTGCTTTTGCGAAATTTCGATATTATAGCTTCAATAATTTCTAAGATATAATAAAATTTTAGAGCAGCTACCCGAGCCACTACCTCAATCTCATCTAATTTAAATAAGATTCCAATATTTTTTTTTTTTTTTTTTTCCTTCTTCACTCCTAGAAGGAGCATAGGGCTAATGCATAATATCTATCATGCCCTAGTTTCTATAGTCATACAGAGTTAGTTAGGTGACTAGCCTACCGTAGTTTTTATTTATATTAAATATTTCAGATTTTATTAATGTTTACTGTTTATTTTTCTTAGTTTTTAGTATCGAATATTATGAATATTTGAAAATTACTTGTATAATATTTATTAGTATTGCATATTAAGTTATATAATATTGAATATAATTTTTTATAGTGACCTGACCGGGGTTTGAACCCGAGACCCTTCGGTTAAAGGGCCGGTGCCATAACCACTGCACCAATGGTTTATTTCCAATATTTACTATTATAAATCTTTTTATAAATTCGCTGGGACATACGAACAGGCGGGTAAACATAGTTAAATCGACTCACAATTTGATTTTGATCAAAAACATATGCTTGAGCTTGGAACATTATTGCTTGTGATTACAAACGGTAAGACAAATTTTACTGGTACAACATAAAATAAATTTGTACTGATACAAAAAAGCTAGCTAGTTAAATATCCTGGTCGATTTCCCGATCGGATTATGATAATCGGAATCTCGTCCCAGTAAATTATTATTCAAATTCATTTTTTAAAACTCAATAGCAATAATTTAACGGAATATGCTTAAATTATTTTTTTAATTGATATTTAATATTTCCGAATTTTTTTGTAACATCAAAAGTTCAAAAAAACTACTTATAACTTGTGATTTAGAAATTTTATGTATGATTATTATCTAGAAGCCGATTTATGTATATACTTACCTTTTACTTACCCCTTTATTATGACAAACTCTCATTATGGTCTTTAAATACAAGAATAAAAATACCTTTAGTTATTGAACACTTTTTAAATTTTTAAAGATGACAGGCTTAATATTTATATTTTACAAAATATTCCAAACCGGTGCTTAGATCAAATCTGTCATTGATTGGCCATTGGAACGGTATCTCTTGTGTTTACAGTATTTATTTTTTGTCAGGTTGTAAATTTTGGGCATTTTTTTAATTCCTTCTAATATTTAAATATTCTTAAATTTTTTGAAAACTATAATTTTAATCTTTTTATTCCGAGTTTAGTATTGACATGATCAACGAGAATTTTTCTTACTTCATGGTACGCTGTACAAATATACGGAATAAAATTTTGCCCTAAACATTTCTTAAGCAACTCATTATTTTTTTCTTGAATAATAAACAAAAAAACAAATAATTTTTTTTTTTTGTAATACATTATTTTTGTGCGTAAGTACATTAATTTTTTTTTTTTTAAATAACAATTGATCAATAAAATTCCGATCTTAAGAAATCGCGTTATATAAAATTTTAATGAATTAAAATTTTCATCTATGATTAATAAAATTAATGAAATTAAATTTTAATTCAATTTTCTTATATTTTGAAATTTGAGCTTTAATAAAATAAAATAAAAACACAAATCACACTGGTATGTGTAATAAACAAGAAGACAAACGTGTAGGTTGAGTTCTTAAAACAATATTTGATATGAATGAGGCATATCAGATTACTTCCTTCACAGGATGGAAAATATTAGTTAAAAATTTTGAATTCAATTTATTAAAAAATTATCACTGAAAGAAGTAACCCGATTATGAATTTTTCTCGTAGTGAAAAATGTATAACTCTTCTGAACACATACTAAGCACATACACTCATTTATTTATTATGCAATTAAATAATAATGTTATACAAATCAAAATATTGAAAATATTTTTTATTTTTCTTTATAATTTTATTGTAATATTAGAATTGAACTCGATTTAGATTTCGTTTCGTAGAATATAAAAATTGTAAAATACAAATTAGGTTACAAATTATTTTCATTACGTAACACTTTTGGTATTAAAATGGAAAAATTTTTGTATAAAACTTTAAATAATCTGGAATATTGTAACCTGAAAATAATCTGGAAATAATTAAGAATTCTGCAACACTTTTGGAAAATTTACTTATTCGACTATAGAAGCTTTATATAAAAGAAATAAATTAAGAAATTTTCTTTATACAACTGCAAAATAGATGGATGATGTAACCGAAGGTATGAGTCAAGACAGAGAAGTCAAAAAATTTTTGCTCTGAAACTGCACTCAAACCAGCGACTTTCTAATTTGGTACTCTACTAATTGTGCTGTGAAAATTATCAGAAAATTATTCTTCATAGCTTTTCTAGACTAATCGTAGTGATTAAATGCTAAACTATTAAATTGTCGTTGAAACACACATAATTGTCTATTACGAACAATAGGTACTTAAGTACAACTAAGTAAAAATAACATTGTTACTGTTAGCCTTTAAAAATTAAAAATTAAAACTAATTTAAAAGTTTCAGTCTTGATTTTGAATAATTTTAAAAAATTTCACTTTAAATACGTGTTAAATAGCTATTGAAACAGCTTGAGATTTAATATTATTTTTTTTTTAATATAAATAATAATTTCTTATTGGGAGGTCTCCTAAATTTATGCAATTTTTTTAAATATTTTATATACACATTGATTTATTAATGAAAATGATAAATGGAAACATAAAAATTTTTTTCAGGAAATTTCTTGAATAATGCATCTAAATCTTTATAATATCTATATTAGCTTCCTACTTTAATATTATAGTTACAATTTTAACTGAATATATAGTCCTAGTCTATTAAGTGTATTGTATTTTAGACCAAATGTTGTACAAGTTATATTCCAAAAATATAACAAGTTAAATTATAACGCTATCTAAGCGAAATAAAATTAATAGATTACAATTTCTAAATAGACATCAATAAACTTAATATATTGCATATATTACACTCCTCCTTTTAGCACACAATATTGTATATATTGGTTTTCATTTAATTTATTTTTTTAATATTTACATCGGATCGACGAAGTTGCATCAGTTTTCCAACACAAAAATTCTAAAATTTGTAATTATATTGAAATATTTTTAAATCTTCATTGAAATTTTTATAATGTAATGTATATGTATTATATATCCTAAAAGTATGCTACGAAATATGCAGTATATTGTAGTATTATAGATAATATTAATGATTGTATATTTCGAATAGCACATAAATAATATACAAATAAAGAAATTCTAATTTACTTTCAATCTCTATACATATATATATACATGAAATGTGATATATATGCGATATATATGGGATATATATGTTATAAACTGTATATATATATTTAATTAATACGAACTAATATAAAGTTTATTTGTTTTTGTAATAAGGAAAAACAAAAAAAAACTATTGTTAAATTGTCTCCTACAACTCTATTTTGAATTGTCTCCATACTCTACCACGAGGAAATGTTTAAATTCTATTCTCCTTTACATTTGTGTATAATTATGTTATAAGTATAATATGAAGTAGTAAAAGGTTTTATACATGCATGTATGTACATAATATTGTGTATTGGAGTCAAAATATAATTTCTGTGTAAAATATTGTATACATTGTAAAATGTTAAAGGATAACATAAAAGTTTTGGAATGTAAATTTCTATAATATATCAGCAATATTGTATATACCAAATATATTATATAAATTTGGTTTATATATCAACTATTATTATCAAGTATTTGAAGTATATAATATGTATAGTACGACAATATTTTTATTCAACATAAGATATGTTGTTAACGGGATGCGAACATAATGTAGAAATTAAGGATTTCTATTTAAAAGTTAAAATTTCTGATTCATGCACTAACTTTCATTAAAAATTTATGTCGAGGGAATTGTTAAGTTTGTAAACGAAATATCAATGCTGGAAGGGAATTTCATAGGTAGTAAAAGTGTTGATCGAATTCAAGTATATAAAAGTGTTCAATTCTTCATTTGTATTCAAATTCAAAATTTAACTTTCGCATATTACAATAATTTTTCTTCGAATACATAATATCTAATAAAATTTCTTATATTGTTGTAAATTACGCACTTTCAAACGTTTTCTGTAGA